CCTCTGGCATTCCATGTGGTCCCGGTTGAACAGGTGATCCCATAGCCTCACTTTACCCCAACTCACTGGTAGGGGTTGGCATGGGATACAAGCTGGTAGGCTCATCACCCTGGCTACAGTGATCGGTTCAAGGATGGGTACATGGCCAAAAAGAGATGATCAAGTTGTCCTCTGAGATGTCCTACATGGATACTTGAAGACAGAGAATCTCACTTTTTCTCAGCTCGTGGGTTGTAAAGTTCATGCAACTGCTTGTGCCCATCTTCCCTAGCAGCATGGAAGAACCCATCTGCAGAAGGAGAGAGTGAGGCCAACATGCAAAGACAAGCAAAATCAAATCAAGATAAGAGATGGATAGAAGCAAAAGGATTCAGACAACAATTTTGAATCCCTAGATCTAGCCAAACTGAAGCCAGTCTACCCCTGAATCTTTCAATTGAGCCCATAAAGTTCTCCTTTCGGCTTGAAGTAGTCTAAATTAGATTAATATAAGCTGTAACCCAGGGTGTGAGTGACTGAAACAAAAGGAGGTAAAGGTCGGAAAGCTGAGAAGACCAAGGAACTAATGTTGTGACATTGCATGGGTTGGCCGTAGGGCACTGAAGTTACCCAAGACGAAGGCAGCACCTGGTCAGGGTACAGAAGATGCCGGTGAACCATTTGCAAAAGTCTTAGGAAGGGAAAAGATTTGGGCTGTTAGTAGGTAACTACATAAAGACCAGAAGAAAGTTAAACATACATCAGCTAGGAAGAGGCTCAAGAAAGTTACAGGTTTTAAACAAAGGCCAAGGAATTACAGTGTGGAAGCTGCATAGAGAAAAGAGAAGTATTCAGACTATACTTGCTAATAAGAAGCTAAGTGGAGAGTGCAATAATGTGGATATAATCACTAAAGCATCAGCTGGGCGGAGCCTTCCAAGCCAAAGAATATGTAACCACGAAATGCTTCCCCAATGAAAATTAGACTCCACTTTTGTGTCCTAAGTCTTATTACAATATCAATAATATGGATTTCCTTAAGAGCTCTTCAGTCCACCACCCCTGGACTTTGAATTACTTTCTATTCATTTGTAAGATGGGCCATAAGGTAAAATTGAAAACTAGACAGAACAAACTTAATTTTTTTCCTAATTGAGATATTTTATGCATATATTTAGATGCCTCAGATGATGACCAGAACAACAACTTCAGTAGCAATTATCACTCAAGTGTATTTGGAAAAAGAGTTAGTATTAAAATTTTAAAGCCTTATCTAAAAATCACATCAACCTAATGCATTTTATTGGCCAACATAAAATATACATGGATATTATAGAACAACAAAATCTAACATAAAAATTTGAAGCTGGCTGCCAATTCTGGAATGAATGCCACAGAGAGAAACCCGACAACCAGCTGGCATTTTAACAAGGAGGAAAATGGCTTTATTAAAGGATTTTCAATTTGTCCAAATGACAAATAGTTAATGTGTATATGGACTATAAACATGTACAGAATTTATTTTTCTCATTTCTTTTGCCCTTTCCACCAGAAATCCCTAAGGATTATATTCAAACCTTATAAATATTTCTGTATGTGTTAAAGATTATTGTATACATGTCCGAGTCATACAGTAAGAGTATGACATAAACATATATGGGGGGGTACCCAAAAAACCAGAATGACCTTCTGGAGGGTGAGTCCCTTGTAGCACAGGTTTCCTCCACTAGTTAAGTGCTCTAGGAATCCATTGGCATCAGTGTACCAGCCAGAGTTGTTGTGAGAGGTTATGCTGCAGAAGAAACATCCTGAGTTGTGACAAACACTGTAACAATGTATCTGCCCACACTGTGCTCAGCAGTTTTGGACTAAAAACAGCATGACCCCTATGCTCCACCCTCCCTATTCACCCAATCTCACCCCAAGTGACTTTTTTTGTTTCCCCTGATTAAAAAAAAGTCTTCAAAAGGAAATGTTTTGTCAGTGTCGAAGAGGTGAAACAAAAAACGGCAGAAGCACTAAAAGGAATTAAAATTGATGAGTTTGAAAACTGTTTTGAGCAGTGGAAAAAGCATCTCAATAGTGTATTGCATCAAACGAAGGGTACTTTGAAGGTGACTGAATTTTAAACATGTAAGATTCAATACACAATTTTTTATAAATAAATTCTGTTTTTTTTCCTGAGTCCTTTCTCATGTTTGGATGAATGGAATGGAATTTCTTATAATAAAGAGAAAGTACAACACTAACCACTTATGGATCATTTTTAGTCTCTTAAATAAATTCTTATATAGAATTAATGATGATAAGTCAAAAATGAAAAAGATACATTTTATTTTAAAATACAGTTTAAAATATTTTTGGGTCATGTAGAGAATAAATTTCCAGATAAAATAAATCAAGTCTGTTAAAGATTGTATTTGAAAACTGAAAGTAGGGAGAATGCACAAAAACAAACCCGGCACTCCCAGACACCCACACCTACACACAACCACATTCATGGGTACATACTTCTGGGTCGAGCAGAGCCACTCAGCTCCATGAGCCCAGTGACGTCACTTCTTCCACTCAGGGCAATTCTGAGTCCACAACAGCAGCCACCACATCTTTGGAGCATGTGAGAAGTCTCCCACAGAGAAAACTCAAGCCTGCCTCTCCTGCCCCATCCAAGCTAGCTCCTGTCCTCAGCCAGGACAGCACAGGTGTGTTTACACAGTTGCGAAATGCTACTTATACCGTCCTTGTGCATGAAGGAGAAAGCCAAGCAGGGATGATGCCCCCAAGCAGAGCCTGGTCACTCTCCCTCTGTGTGGACTGTCATCCAACCTGTAAGTGTCAAGCTCATTTGCTTTCTTTTAGATTTCTCATTTTCTTTCTCTCTTTTTTTTTAATTATCCATTCTACATTTAGTAGATAGTATTTTTTTTAAAAGAAGATCTTCAATTTTTCCCCCTATTACCCCTTATTTGGCATAATTGTGAGAATTAAACTATGGATTCTTGTGGATTTTTAATTATGTAAAGTAAAACAATGAGTGCATTGATCAAGCTTAAACTAATTAAAGACAATTTTTAATGTCAGCATTGAGTTTACAATCAAATTTATGTAATGGCTGCAAGAATAGTTTATGCTTTTTAAATCCAAACCAAAATCCAGTTTAATTTCAACCTGTGTGATTGATTATAGTTTTATCTCTTTAACTTCTTTTAGTTTAGAAGAAAGAAGCCAATGCGTTGGTTATGACTGACTTTTTAGCGACTTGTGAACAGTTGGCTGGATATTTTATATTTTTTCTTCATATTTGGGTGTACTACATCTAATTTTTCATTTTTCTTTAATTAGACACTAGTACTGCTTTCAGGGACAATAAAAAGGTGCATTTTAAATGGCAGAAATAAGATAAACTTTCCAAAAAAATAACAGGTTTTTCTCAGTGAAGTTAAGAATATGG